AAAAGGTCCATTTTGAAGAAAAGTGACTAAACTAGTATCAGTAGTTTTTTACCCATTAATGAGTAACTGTTATCCGTTAATGGGTAACATTTGCTCATTAATGGGTAAAAATTGCTAATTTAATGGTAAGTCACTTATCTTTAAAATTTATATTTTTTACCCAATAATGGGTACTTTAAAGTTAGTTAAAAATTGAGTTCACTTTCACTCATCATGAGGCTAGGTAAAATTAAATAAATTATGAAAACTAAATTTTGAGAAATCCTCATCAATAATCCATTGAGTGAAAATTACCTAACCATCAATTGAATGCAATTGGCGTTGACAGCGACTCTGTAGCTCTTTACTCCTATGTTAAACTCCATAAGTAAACTTCAGACTGTGCGTGAAACATGGCGGACTTCGTACTATCAACCGGTGGAAACTAACGATATTAAATTGATTCACTACTGGAAAAGCCTATTGGTCCCAAGCAAATCGATTAACGTACCCTATTCTGGTCGAAATTCTAGTACTACACTATGTTTGTTTTGATTTTGTATGAAAGTTTGACAGATAAAATGAGGGGTTCGTGGATTTTCCTATGTTCCGAGGGGTGCATCGATTAGCTTGGGACCGAAGATAGTACCAGAACTGAGCCAAAAAGTTGAGCACATTTTTTCGGGACCTTCTGGTCTTAGAGTTACCTCTATGGTACTATCCTTTTACTTCACCGAAAAATCCCACTAGAAACTGTCAATCATTTCTAGAAGAGACCATTTTTCGACGGTGCCGTCAACGCCAATAATGGAGCACCAACGAAGACGATGAAGCACACAAAAATGACAGTATCAAAGGCAGCGCAAGTTGCTATGATTTTCATCCAAAAATAAGTTAAAAATTTCCCAATGGTGAAAACATGACGGTTGAGTACTTTTAACTTAAAATCGAATTCATTTATATTTTTTTTTTTTTTTTAGCTTTTTTAAAACTCAAGTGTTCTTTAGTGTTTTTTTCTTACCGTGTTTGTTAATCTATTACCCAAAATTGTGTTAACGATTATTAGCGTGTTGAAAGTTTTCCTCCTGTCAGTTGCCAAGTGGTATGTAAAGAGGGATGGCAGATATAATCTGCATTTTCTTTTATTTGTTTGGATTACCTCTAAGCCTTTTGTACATTCAAACTAAAGCAGATATCACGTTATTTAGATATGATATAATATAATATGATATCATATTATACAACGTTATTACGTTATTGATATCAACTATAGTCTGAACGTAGTACAATGTCATGACGTCAGGGTAGGCGTGTAACATGCATGAGAAAGCTAATACTGTTTGCCACACCTTTTATTTGACTAAACGTATGAATTGATTACACACTTAAATAATAAGGCCACGAATGTTTTTAGTCACCTTTCTCACCGGGAGAGGGTATTACTTATGCGTCTTTTCAGAAACATATGGGAATTCTGGAAGTGAACCATATTGTTAATTTATAATATTTGCTATTATCGTACTTGAAAGCTCAATTTTGGCATGTGAATACATTGTGTTTCAGAGCATCTATTGGCCAAATTTGAGTGCTCTAGGACTTTGTTTACCCCCCTGACGATAAAAGTAAAACATTTCCTCTACGTGTATCTGTCAATAATAAACCGGTGAAATGGAAATTACCATCTATCGTCCCTCTTTATTTGCAATACTTGTTATAAAGAAATCTGTTACAAATTAGCTAAACATGCAATTATATTATATATGCATTTTGGATATTGAAAATTGATTAAAATTTATTACAAAAATTTGTATTGCTCAACTCAACTAAGAGTCAAAGAATAAGAATCATCTTGCAGAGTACTACTAGCTTTTGCTTTGATCTACAGGAATTCTTCGAAACCGTAAAATACTTACCAACTGTACAGCAATGATTGATATTCACATCCAATCAGGCTTGACAACAAATATGCTATCAATGATTCAAACGAGAACGCATTATCATATCAGAAGAATTCCAGGCCATTGTTTTCCATTGAAAGCATATTTAAATTCTTCTACCATTAGCTCAGGCTCAAATCGCTTTTGTTCAGCAGGAAACGCTTTCCTGAAATTCAATAGACGCAAAATTAAATTGCTACGAATAAATACAGATGAACCCTAGGAGACGATTACAATCTTGATTAATTCAAGGCTGATGATTTTGTAAAAGCACCATCAATTGAGATACTGTGAAAAGAGGTGTTTAATTCGTCAAAAAACTTTGCTCGAGACCGTTTGATAGATAGATACCACTCGACAGAATAATTGTTCCTTGCGCTTAATTCAAATAAATTCCCACGTAATTTAACTTGTTTACAACTGATGAATTGGATACCTCGAGTGACAAAACCAAAACGCGGCAGTCATTTGGAAAAACAAACTTAACAGCTCATTTCAGCACGTAATAAATCCACATTTTATAATGCCTACCATCAGGTTTCAACACCAAGGAGAAAATTGTCCGTGTTCACTGTTGACCCACGCAAGTCAAGCCAAGGAGATGGAAAATGTCTTGCGACTATGGAGTTCAGGCAACCGTGTCCTTTGTACTATATCTTTACCTAGCGTCGTTTGTATACTAGGTGGTAAAGCATCACGACACGACGCTGCTGACAAAACAGTGGTTCGCATGAATTGTCAAATTTATTTCCTTTTCCATAGAGCACAGCAAGGACTTTGGACGCTATACACTGTTCCTGTTTGACCCATTAACACAAGATGGTGTTCAACTTTGCTCGGTAGTTGGCTCAGACCGGTGATATGGGCAAAGGCTATAATAATGTAGCTACAACGATGCACGCACAGTTTCTGTAATAAAATGAAAAATTACAGTTGCTTTGCTTGAGAGTGATGCAAGTGACACAGGCAACGCAGCAGCTGGGATGGTAAAACAATTAATATCTGTTTAAAAATTAATTGCTAAGCTAGTCAACCGGAAAATTAACAATCACAAATGGGATTTATTTCCACATTAAAATGCAGCACGTGCTTGTGACAAGTAGTTCGATTAATGGGAATTGTTTACACTGGTTATAGCCTGATTAGTAGTTTTCCTGTTATGTTTTACTTATCTAAAACTGTTTGAACAGCATCCCAATAGATTAGGTTAATATTCAAACAATTGTGGACCAACGAAGATACTAACTTTACTATTTTAACATAGTTGGTTAGTTATCTTTAAATTTTAACATTGGGGTAGACAAGACAAGGTAAGACGGTCACCTCAAGGTTGACATCATTTATCATTTAAATATAATTGCAATTAATACATTCAAACATTGCCTGCTTTAGTTCTTTCGTGTCTTTTCTTGCACATTGATGCAATTTAAACACTTACAAAACTACGGTTTTACATTAAATTTGGTTGGGACTTCGGGGTTCAGTATTAATTGAACAATCAACGTCAAAGCACGGTCAAATTTCTAATCTGTTTTCCTCACTATGCACTTATTTTTCAACCTGGATTTTTTTTTAAGTTGATTTTAGGTTCAGATTCGGGCTTAGAAATTGTTTGACAATTTTAAGGCAATCCATTTTGAAGATTTAGGATATAGAAACTTCTGTAACACCTTAAAAATAGAAGAAGAAAAAACATTACTGTGGGACCTAGACTACTAAGGAAAAATCTCATTACTGGAACGTGGAAAATTTTCTAAAATTTAAAGATCACGGACAAAGAAAATTTTGCATGCGTCTAGGACTCTAAGAAAATTCGATCTTGAAAAAGTAAAGATTCCGTGTTAAATTTTCGAGATTATGAACTATTTTTTTTAACATTGGAACCTTGGCTGAGACTTAATAGGTGATCTCTAAAAGAAATTTATTCAGAAAAATCACCCTGGAATATGTTTTGATATTTTGAACATATAGAATGCAAGTTCAGGCCAAGACACATTTAAATGCTTCTGAAATATAGAAAACATTTTTAGATTTTGGACATGGAATTTGTTGTTTTTAATCTTTGTTCCAGATAAGAAGTGCGGAAAAATAGAATACAACTTAATGAACTTAGAAAAAAAACTCAAGCTACTGTAAGATTTAAAAAAATTATGGTCTCTAAACAAATTCTAAAGCTTGACATTTTATATTTGGAAAACTTTTAAGATCACATGCAATCACATGGAGAAAAAAATATTTTCTGGACAAAAACTCAAAATATTAGTGATTACGTGAACATCAATTTAGATGGACAAGTTTGGAACCCACCACGGCATGTTTTTGGCGCTACTGTATATGGACGATCAAATGTGGTAGCCACAGCATAGTTCTGTCAAAACTTCAGCTTTTTCATCACTTCATTCGAGCAGTTAACGCTTACTACAACTTGAACTTTGAAATAAAATAATATCTAGAGAATTTTTCTTCTAGATAGTAATTTTTTGGTCTAATTTTGTTCATTTTCTGGTAGAAAGTCACGCCAAAACTGCTTGACAAAATGGTTCATTGGATAGTTCCGTCTATTCGCAACTCTTCTTGTCAGACTTTTCAGGCGGATTTTTTATTAATTATTCACACAATTTTTATCAAATCATGCTGAGATTTAATGTGTTTTTAATACACATTTTTTACATTGGTCGTAAAAAGCGAATTTAGTGACTAAATTTTAAGAAATAGTAACTTTAGTGACATTTTGGTGAAAAAAAAAACTGTTTTGTGACTGTCTTGAAAATAGTGATCTAGCCACTAAAAAATTACCTGCTACCAGCCCTGAGGTTTACATTATATATCGTGTAAAGTGAAATACAAATGAAATACAAGTTTATACGCATACATTTTTACATGACAAGTAAAATTCAGAATTTGTTTCTGTATATATATATATATAAAATCGCTCATTGCATACGACTATCCCCCAATAATGTTCACCACCAGTTCACGTGTTGTTCTGTCTTCATGAAAATTCTGAGCCACGACACGTTGCAAACCTCGGTAAAACATATAGACTAATGAAAATACTTTGCTTTCCCTTCCATCCTCTTTCAGGTCCTACAGTCTGGTGACAATCGAGTGGAACGGCCATTCGACGGAGGTATGCCACATAGAGACCTCTAGCTGGGTGCACGACTACGTGGGCGAGGATGTGTACTACACCTTCTACTTCTCGTTCCGGATATTGTTCGTGCATCTTATACCGTGTGGGAGTTTAGTTGCCCTCAACGTGCTCCTTTTCAAGGCAATGCGCCAAGCGCAACAGAAACGCGAGCGCCTCTTTAAAGATACGGCCAAAAAGCGGGAATGCAAACGGGTCCGGGACTCCAACTGCACCACGCTGATGCTGATAGTCGTGGTAACGGTTTTCCTTGTCGTGGAAATACCACTTGCTGTGATTACGGCCTTACACATCATCTCCTCGCTTATTTACGAGTTCCTTAACTACTACATAGCCAATCTATTCATTTTGTTTGCAAACTTTTTCCTCATCGTTAGCTATCCAATCAATTTTGCAATTTACTGCGGGATGTCGCGCCAGTTCCGAGAGACGTTCAAGGAAATTTTTGTTAAATCAAGCAAACAGATACCTGGTGGAAAGAAAGACTGTGGTTCTTCGCGTTATTCGCTAGTTAACGGACCAAGAACGTTCACCAACGAAACGGTGCTGTAATAGACGTAGCGGCGTTAACACTTTATCAACAACTAACGAAACGTTATAATACAGATTCATGACTTATGCAACGGTAATACACGATTAAGGAGTGCTTTTAATTTTGAACAATTAATGATTCGCAGCACTACGCGAAGTAAACAAAGAAGGTTAATTTAGGGAAGTTGCAAGGCAAATAATTAGCTTATTCTTCGGACTCACTCTGTTCGCACAAGTGCTACCCATGTATGATTACATATCAGTCACATTTGTAAAACGTTTATTGAGAAAATGACGGAAAAATTTAAAATAAAAAAAAATTATGTATAATGTTGCATTTCCTTACCGTTTTTGGCTTATCAGGCATCGATAAACCGCTGAACCCATCCCGGTAATTCCTGGGAATCGTAAAAAAAAAATATTTTTTATGTGTCCAAAAAGGTTCAACAGATTTTTTTTACTTTCTTAAGTTTATTCAATCTGCCCTTGGAAATTTCTTAAAACTTTCCTCTGGAATTTTCATCCACCGTTAGTTATTTTCTGATTCCTCCCGGAAAATTATTTCGGCTTCCCTCAAAAGTTTCTTCTTTCTTCGCTCGAAAGGTGCTTCGGTCTTCTCCCGCCAGTTTTTTCAACCTCCCACGGAATATTTTTCGACTTCCACCAGAAATCTCTTTCTTCCGGATTTTTTTTCCTAACTTCTTTCGACTGTCCCGAAAATCTTCTGGCTTCCACCGGGTTTTCCAGCGCCTCCGGGAAGCTTCTTCCGTCTTCTCTAGGAAGTTCCTTTAAACCTCAATCGGAAGTATCTATCGAATTCTCCCAGAAGTTTCTTTTATCTTCCTCTGAAAGTTTCTCCATGAGCTCCTTACGGGGGTTTTTTCCGACTTCTATCAATTTGTGAATCCTTCATGGCTTCCTTTAGACGTCATGATTGCATCCTAAACATTCTTTAAATTTTCCGCGGAATTTTCTCAATATTTTTCTTGGTAGTTCTCTGGATGTTTTCCACCTTTTCATCAAACTTTCTCCAGAAGAGTTTCTTTCTTCTATCTCTGGAAATTTTTTCGGCTGGCTTCAGAAGCTAATTAAAACATTCCCCGGAAATTTATTCCGACTATCCTGGAATGACTATTTGTAGTCCAAATGTTTAAATGCTCGCCTTCAAAGACGGCAACAAAATATCAATTCACAACGTGTTGAGTTGAAGCTGAGGTTGACTCGACGCACAAATGATTCCGTGGCACCTCATCTCATTAGAAAGAGAAGGTATAGTAATGCTATCTCTTCACCGATGGCAGACACGCAGCGACTGCTACCAGCCGTTATGGAAGTAAAAATCAAGAAACTCAATCTCGCCACATTTTAGTGAGATTTGCAGCTAATGAGTTTTGTTACCTTGATATTCCAAGCTGCGATATCACAGCTTGCTACATCAACCGCAGTTGTTTGGTTGTTGATTTTTTGTTTAAGAAAATCAAGCGTGATATTGCTCTTTGGTGACATTTGATTTTTTGATAAAGTATGCATTTTCGAAGGAAAATGGGACTACCGTAAAACGGTGTATCATTGAAAATGCGGGTAGATTTGATAGTAGAAAATAATGATTAAACTTACACTCTGCTTTTTCTTCTTCTTATTCGCATTTCAAGATTATTGCTTAGCGCATATTAGCTTATTGCGTGCTCTCAACTTAGTGTTCTAAATGCACTTCCACAGTTATTAATTGAGAGCTTTCGATGCCAATACCAATGCATGAATTTGTATGTTGTGTGGCAAGCACAATGATACTCTATGTCCAGGGAAGTCGAGAAAATTTCCAACCCGAAGGATTCTCCCTCGACCGGACCGGGAATCGAACCCGCCGCCTCCGGCTTGGTAATACCGTGCCTTTACTGACTAGGCTATGAGGCCCCCAGACTTACACTCTGCACTTTTTCCTAATTGGAAACATTGATTCCATATTGTACCTTAGGGAATTGCCCTTGATATCGTATAGAGTTTTTATATAGTATGTCTTACATATTTTCCATACACTTATAAAATGTATTTCGGATATAGCCATCACAAATTCATGTTTTCTGATTACATACTCATTCAAAGTTTCATATTTCTTGAACTAAATTGTTTGAGTTTGACGCATGTTTTTCTACATTCATCGAGCATTATCAAAGTAACCCCAAATAAAAATACTGATGTTCTATCACAAGACTAAAAACATAGTGCAAATGCTATAATTACCGTTAAACATATTATTAAAGGCCCAAGCGCAATGACAGCGGAAGCGGAACGGCAGCGGCAGCGGAAAAGCCCGATCTGAGTAAGCCTACTTTCCGATTGAAAACTAGTTAGAACCAAATCGACATCGGTTAGGCTTCTTGATGTTATTTGTGACAACTGTCAAACATTCCGTTTCCGTTCCACTTCCGTCCACATTGCGTTTGGGCCTTAACGAATTGACTCCAGGATCCTCAGTATTTGTTTAAAAAAAAATAAGTTTGAAAAACATTCATTGCTGTGAAAAATATTTGGCATAACAGAAAATTCAATGTTACCCCATTTTACGGTACCCATACAATGAGAGAAATGTTGACCCATTTATGAGTATTTTTTACTCATTTCTGTAGTAACAATTACTCATTTAAGGGTAAAATTTTACTCATTTAATTGATAGTCCCATTTTCCCTCAAAAATGCATACTTTATAGTCATATTATTGAGTATTTTGCGGTTACCGTGTGCGAAATCGAGAAAACATCCAACCCAAAAGATTTTCAGCATCGGACAGGGAATCGAAGCTACCGCCTCCGGCTTAGTAATATCACAGACAAACCGAGTAATCTATGGTAATACCGTTCCTGTTTTTTAAGATTATGCTAATTACTGTTCAGTTAAATTTTCGAGCACCACACTGAAAATAAACTCGACAATTTTGTCAAAATAATGTATATCGGATTCTATTTATCCGTTATTTTGTTTTTTTATTCCGTTGGATAAGTCCCTTTCTCAACCTTTTATTAACATGTAGTTGTACCTGGTTGTCGTAGAACCGCATTGCATACTATCCACATACAAATCCGCATTGCATACTATTTATTTTTTAACAAAATTTTCGAAAGATCGCTACTATGACAGTGCAATTAAAAATTTAATTCTGATGCATTCTATTATATATGTTTATAAGCTTTCATGAAACAATATGAAAGGAAAAATGTATACGTTTTTACTTGCTGTCTACCGATTTGACAATGTGATAAGATCAAAACAAAAAAGAAAAATCAAATTTCCAACAAGATAACAACATCAAAAATACGTTTAAAATTACCGAAGATATTACAAAAATTGGAAAAAGTGTGATATCGGTGTGGTGCTCGAAGAATTAAGTAAACGATGTCGAATGTTACATTACCCGTGTCTCAGAAAGTTCCCATTAACTTGCAATCTGGAGGAAATGTTGAACTATTGACACTTTTTTTTATTAATTCTTAAGCATCATAAAATACTGATAGACAAACAAAATAAATCAGGAGTGATTTGAGATTTGGGCGTAATTGCATTTGTAAACAAACACGTCAATCGCCGATTATTCGAGAATGAAAGCTCAATTTTGAAATCTAATAACTCTACGAGCTAGAGGAATTATTCTTCTATATTCTATTATTGGCATAGCTTGTTACGAGATTGAGCTTTTATTTACGAGAAATCGGCGATTGACGTGTTTGTTTACAAAAGCAATTACTCCCAAATCTCAAATCACTCCGGAAATATGAAGGTGTTAGAAAAGGGTCAATTTCAGCTGGTTCTATTGTTATGATTTAATATTGGTCAAACCATTTTCGTAATTAAAAAAAACTCGCTACAGAAGGTTTCAATTAAAAAAAAATACAAACTGAGTTCCAATTGAATTTTAATTGCCATAATAACTTATGCCATAATAAGCCACATACAAAAATCACTTTCCCATAGAAGGACACCAAGCTTGGTTGAAGTTTAAGAGCTCCGAAGTGATTTGAGATAAGGGCGAAACCACTTTTGAAAACAAAGAATGCAATCGCCGATTTTTCACGAATAATAGCCAATGTGTTTGCAAAGGGAGTTTTACCCTAATCTCAAATCACTCTGAAAATGCAAATGAGACAGATATGAGATTATAAAAAGAGTACTCAAGAGATAATTGAAAAATTGTTATTGCCCGCTTCTGCTTCAGACTCACAGACCGTTGCCTAACTCATGGACAAACAAACTCGATAGACGAAAAACAATTTCAATGTGACAAAGAAAACAGAACAACTGTTACCAACCTTCGTGGAAAGGAAAAATAACAAGCTCAGTGGTTTAATCGCTCCCATACGAATGGGATCATTAATATCACGTGTACGATAATATAATAATGCGTCATTCAGCGTCATTCAGCGTCCTTCAGATCCCTTACAGAGTTAGGATCGATGGCACTGCAAACGAAGAAAACGTTCACGAAACAGTTGAATAACAAACCAACATCTGCAACCATCGGAATGAAATCATTTGAATAAGAAATTCTGAGCCCAATTTTCTAATTCAAATGATATAATATCTAACCGTATCGAAATGAAAGAGCATTAGCAAACGAGCATAAAGCAATTTAGAAAGACACGATGAACGGTTCACCCAAAATCAAACGAGCTACTGGAAGCAAGAAAATGATTTCCTTATTTCTAAAAAAGCAAAATTTCCTCATTGCATTGAGAACTGTCTCTTATTTACAGTAACAGTGTAATTTTGTATAACAAGTATTCATCAACGAAAGCCATGCAACCACTCGACCATTAGTAAAAGCACATAAGCTTCCTATGAATTGAGCGAGGCTTCTCGGTTAATCGAATTGCGAAAAGCAGAACACAACACACTGTGCTGGAAGATCATGGGCGAGCGGCAGAGCATCTCTACTAAAATCAGGCCAGGCACGTCTTCGGTAAATTGGGTTGGATATGGCGCGACACTCAACTAATTCCATGCGAGAAAATATTACCGAAAAGCGAGGAGGAACCTCATCCCAAGAAGGAGAACAAACAATTCTCTTCGTTTTTCAGGCCACACGCTTTTTGCATTGTAAACACAAACAACAAACCAAGATACGATGAGGAGATTGTACTAGTCAGTTATAACGTAGTGTAGTTATATATAGTTGAGATAGTTGAATTTTTATTTTAACAATCGGTAAAAAAACCTAGAAATGAGGTCAAGTACTTCTAGCTATCGCGAAAACTAACAAATTGAAAAAAAAATGTAACAAGAGAAACCCGAATATTCATGCAACCAAACAAATTCGATCGATTCTGAAGTATTGATACACAGCAAAAAATTAATTTTAATATCATATCAAAGTGGATGCACTTCAGTCGTGTCGAAAATATGGTGTAATATTACTTGCCGAAAAAGAAAAAATATCATTGAACTGACGCTACGCTACTTTTACTACATATGTTTATTTTTGTGGCCATAAAAATTACATGAGATTTTCGACATGATTGAAGTGCATCCTCTTGGATGTAATATTAAAATCTATTTTCTGCTGTGTACCAAATCTGAACATGAGATGAATTCAAATTAAACGGTTTTGTACAGTACTAAATGTTCAAATATATATAAATAAAACTAACTAAAACTCGTATCATGTTTTATGATTGATTTTAAATCTGGGGATTGATGTTTTATTTTGCAGAAATTGAAAGAAAGGCCATGCAGAATTTGAAGGAAACATTTATAAGTTATGAAGATAGTCATATTTGAAACAGCCGGGAACGTTAACGATTGACTACTCTCAATGAATGATTTAACTGTATATGACTAAA